CATCTAAATAAAGCCCCCCTGTAACCTCCCCCAGGAAGCTTGCTCGGCCCTTTTAAACAGTTACACAGAAGGGAACCTTCTGAAGGGGAGGCTTTAAATAGGCCCGGCTCGGCCCAGCTCAGCACCGCAGCGGTCTGAAGCGCGGCAGCCACGGGCCATCTAACGGTGACTGTCGCTGCCATTTTTACCCTGGTGAGGTCAGGCCTGTGCTGGGAGTCCACTCTGTCCACCAATGTGACAAGTCATTGGGCTTGGTGTGGCTGTGGTTTACTTAAGCCATACTTTGGTGTTAATGTTAGTGCAATTTAAGTCTGCTGGGTCAGTCGAGTTTATTGACCAGTCATGTGGCCAGAAACAGGCTGCCTAAGCCCTACATTTTAGTTTATTCTTTTTCTTCTCTATTTTTAGTTTACACATTATTTTCCTTATTTTTTGTCTGTTTTAGCACATTGTCCTTTCTTCAAATAAACCAACGTATTTAGTAAGAACATTTAAAGCAAATTGCCTTAATTTCCATATACTGGAACATCACTTTGTGTCAGTCCGTGAAGTCAATAGGTGCGTTCACACCGCAGTACTTTTCCCACTTTAGTTCCGATATAGTTCCGAAATGTTGCGTTCACAACAAAATGAGCCGGAACAAAAATTAGTTCATCAGAACCTTTTTACCCCCTTTTCCGTCACTGCTAGAGAGCAGGTACTTTCGTGGGAGAAAAAGGTTCCTATTTCTGATTGGCTGGGCGGATTGCAAACCACGCCCCGTAAAACTCCAAAAAAAATGTGTGAAGCCGCCATTTTATTATCCATGCATTAGCATTTTTAGCATTAGCCCAGCGCACAAACGCAGAGAGACTAACTTATGGCAACAGCTGGGAGTCCCAGCAGCTTCTACTGAAGCCAGTCCCCAACTCCGGGACTTCCGGCCGGGGACTTCGGGTGGCAGTATACCATGAATGTATAATAAGAACTGGATACAGCGTCGGAGGCGGGGTCTCGTTCTTTCCTATGAGAGCTGCTCATTGGCGCATGAGGACAAAATGGCCCAACTTTTGAGAGAGCGAAACATCACAGATTACCCGTCATGCCTGGCTTTCAGAGCAGAAGTACCTGTATGTGCGCTCACAGAGCATGCGCCCCTTAAGCCGAGCCCCCCAAGCTCCCACTCTCAGATGCGCGTTCATAATGCAAGGAAAATAACTCTCAGAATAACGTTATTAGCACATTTTACAACTTGAGGACCGAATGTTTTTAATAAGGGCTATACAAATGTTCATACTGGGTTGTTTATTTAGTTTAAAAAAAATTATCCAATGATTTACAGACCGCTCTATCCCAATGTAAGTTAATGGGAAAAAGTGTTTCCCGGCCCAGCAACCTATACGGAAGTGTAGTACCGCCATTTGGCCACAACTAATATTTTCCTCAGAGTCCGGCGCACTTCCTGGGGGCTTGCAGTATACGCCGTGAAGTTGTTTGCGGCCTGCCAGTAAACCCAAAGCAGAAGAAGAAAAAGTGACGTCATCGGCTTCATTTGCCTAATCCTCCCTCAGGGATTTATTCCTCTGTGAACGCGATCTGAACTTAGTTCATGAGAACTAAAGAGTTCTCATGAACTAAGTTCTGATGAACCTTTGTGGGAAAAGTACTGCGGTGTGAAAGCGCCTATTGGGGCCCAAAAAGACTTGACTTACAGACCAGGGGCCTCATGTATAACGCCGTGCGTAGGATTGACGTGGGAAGGTTGCTTACGTGGTAGAAATCCGAAAAATAGGTCCATACCTTTTCCGCCACTTTCCGATTCACCAAACATTGCGTACCGCCGAGGAAAGTGCGTATGGCACTTCCTACGCCGATTTCCCTTTTATAAATCACAACCGACTCGAAATGCGGTGCAGCTTTTGCGGGCTTCACATAACGCCCATGTTTGCCTATAAATAGTCAAAGAAACGCCCTTTCATTCATTCATTTTGACTGACTGCATGGAGAAGATAGCAGGAAATGACAACAGAACAGCTAAAAAAAACATCTCACACCGTGTCAGATTTTGGTTATTTTGGGGAGGTCGAGATAAATCATATTGTTTGGTGGATGCAGTTTGAACCAGAGTAGCAGAATGGAGGTCGGATCACCAAAATAAATAAATAAGTGGTCCGAAAAAGGTTAATGACAAACAAAATACACATAGCCTTCCTCAGGCAGTGTGTTTGTACCGGGGACAGGAGACACCCCCTTGATGAGAAACTGTAAGAAATGATCGGGGAATCCCTCCGGAGTGGAGTCATGACGACTGGATCTGAATTATGTTTTTGTATTTGGCGGTTTGTATCCAAGCGATCAGCTGTGCGCAGCGTCTCCACTGCAGCCTGTGCATCTCAACCCCCCCCCCCCCGCAGCAACTCTATATCCATCAGTTAAAGGAAATACAACTAATGTGTTGTGTTATAGCTGTACAATTGACCACATATGGTGTTCTTAGTTTTCATACCTCCTGTGTTTTACGAGCGACTTATCAAGTCTTGGCAAACGGCATAAAACACAATTAAACATGTATTAAACATAGGCTATATAAAACCATGCTCGTATATCTACAACCTATAGAAATAAAAAACGGCCAGTTTAGACGTAATTCTGTCCTCCTGCTAACCGCATCATTTATGAGAAAACATTTCATAACATTAACACAACATATTCAAGGTGGTTTTAAATAACATCCGTATTTATTTATTTCTCCAAGTTATGTTTTTGTGTGCACTGAGGAGTCTCAAACAGGCGTTTGTTAAATCATTTTAAGATTGGCTTTAATCAATGTTTGAAAATGAATTCTTCATATATGATAAATGAGAGGTAACATTTTATTTATGGTATTATTTCCACATATTTCTCTCCATTCTTTCTTCTGCCAACGGTGTCACAGTTTCTCGTCTCTCCCGTTTTTGTGCTTAGTGCGTATGCATGGGTTAGAGTTTGCGTGGAGGACCACACGTTTTCCCGTCAAGTTAGTATTTTATAAATCGCAAACATTGCGTAGAAACTGACGTCCGCCATTTTTTGAGCGTATATCCCTTTATAAATGAGGCCCCAGACCAGAATGCCATGACGGAGCAGATTTGAGGCGGGGCTTTAAGTGCGCATGCTCTATGGGCCCAAAGATGCGAAATATCGCCACTCCGGATATTATTGTTCTTGATAGAAAGGCCATTTTGGCTTCATGTGGCAGTGAGCAACTTTCGTATGAATGAACCAGACCCCACTACCAACGCCGTATCAAGTTCTCTTTACACAACCATGTTATAAACTCCCTGTCACGCATCCTTGTTCTATCACACAGTGACATCAGGGCTCCTGGCTGAGTGTTCCAGTGACTGGCTCCCGGTTCATCTGCGGGTCTCCGTCTGTGTATGTTTAGATGTTGTGTCTAACCCCACATCCCCTAAGGGGCTGTTTTGGGGATTTTTTTCTTCTGCATCTGGGCCGTGCCACCCCTCCCTTTGCCCTCCATGCCACCCCTGACTAAGACGAGGCTTGGCCGCCTCTGTGGTGGCGGTGATACCACAGCCCAAATGACAGGGCACTGAAGCTCTGCGTCCGCCTCGCCCTGCCGCCTCACCTGCAACACACTCACCAGTTTACACATTGAGTTGTGTATGTGTGTGTGTATAGTTAGAATAATGTTGCTAACACTGTTACTAACGTGATGGTTTTACTGACAGTGGCCATTATGTGGATGTCTCAGCATCCTTTTTTGAACACACTTGCCACGCTACTGACATGCCGCTCTCACGCTTGACATGCTCGATGCTTACTGGCTGAAAACTTAAGTTGTGTCTCTAAAACACGAGTGTCTCCGGGGCTACAGCTTCACTTCTCTTGCCAAATAGAGAAAAGGCCATCGTGGGATTAGATGATGCAGTTCTTCTGAGTATCTTTTACACACACCACTGCTCTGCTTTTAGTTGGAATTTAGGAGTTGGAGACAATGAACCATTTTAGGTCTTAATGACTAAGCTGCTAAGGGAAGTTGTTCACTTTCACTACTGTATGTATTTGACTGACCATGAATGGAATGAGGTCATTTACATTGCCATTGCATTAAGTTTATTGCATGTGTTTAGATTGAATTGCTTGACTTTACAAAATGATTCACACACTAACTCAAAGGCTACAAAGAGTGGTTTATTTGAGATGTTACTGCTTTGTTTTCATTGTACTAGTGGAAGAATTCTCACAAAAAATATGTCATGATTTTTTAACAGGAAGCATGCACAGGATGTAAACATTACGGACATCCTCCTCGGCTAAACGTTTGCTAGCTCAGGAGAGCCTCTTATCCATAAGTAGGATCATGCTCTCTTTTGGCCCTTCAAACACGATAAGACGATGCTGTCTAGTTTCAATATGGTGGAGACAAGGCAGATATTTCAAGGCGAATATCTCTATTATTCCTCTACAACTCACACCTACAGTAAACAATACAAATGTATGCATCACAGTCACACTACACGTACAGTAAGAGGTAATGTATTTAGATGTTTGGGTAAAATGCCCCTTGGATGCTTTATATCTCTATAAGAAGAGCAACTTTTATGTATCCCCGAGGGTAAATTGGACTGGACCTATACACATTATAGTTGTCAGAGCAAACAGGCTGCAGGTGTTTTGGTTGCCAGAGAGCAGTTGGGGGTTTGGTGCCTTGCTCAAGGGCACCTCAGAAATGCCTGGACAGTGCACTTGTTGCCAATAAAGACAACAAACAAATGACAAACACTACAATTCACGTTCTTGACCTTTATTGATGCAATGCTCACTTCCTGCACATTTCTAATGTTCATGTGGGGAGGAACCTTACATGTCATATCATCATTTTAACTGCTGTTATTTCATATAAATGGACACATTCATTTCTACTGGAGAATAGAGTCACACAACACACACACTCATTTGGACAGTATTGCTCTTGTTGTAGTTGAGTTTCTGATTCCCTCTCTGTGTCTCTGTTACAGGTGGAGGGGGTCGGTCTGTACTTCCGTCGGCAGCTCCTGCAGTCCCGTCATCGTGGCGCCTTTGAACTGGCTTATGTGGGCTTTGTACGCCTCACCGAGATGCTCTGCAGGTGTGTGTGTGTTTGTGTGTGTGTTCACATTTTGGGCAAAGGGCTGAAAGGTATTACCGCTGAATGGCTGAGGGCATTAGCCCCCATCATGACAGAGTGTCAGTGTGCCTTGTTATTAGCACGTAGGCGGGTCCTGTCAGTATCACTCTTCAGGGATAATTGACTTAATTACGTCAAGACTTTGTAATAGGTGTTATTCATCATACGGAGCTCTCTGGACGGCCAACAGACGCACGGCATGAGAAAAATTAACCAGCTGATAAATTAGAGTCGTACAGTGATGACAAACTTTTTGTAGTTAGCATCACAAGGACTCCCTTGACTAAAAACTCTGGGATTTTTTCATTGGATTTTACAATATTGCAGGAAATAAGACCCTTGGCTAACACACATTTATGATACTTACATGTTTCGTTCAGCATGGTAATCTCCATACAGTATATTGTATAACTGTTTTGTGCTAGGCTAATTTAGCCAGCACACAGGCCGTGGCTTCATAATTGTTGAACACAGATAAGATTGATATTAATAATCTTATCAGAATCTTGGGAAAAAAACTCCTTTAACTACTTCTAATTTTGAAATATTCAGTTCGATTTATTGGTTTGTGTGTGGAAAAAGAAAGAACATTAATATTTCATTATTTCATTTCCACATTTAAACGTGACTTTAGTCTCATACACATTCCAATTCACACTCCCCATCCATGTGCTATTGATGGAAAGAATCCTACTACTATCCTCCTGAGGGAAAGAGAAAAAAACAATCTTTTAATTGACAACAACATGAAAGAATCTCACTCTCCCGCCTCTACCTCCCTGTTTCTCCCTCCTCACCGCCGGGTTGCGGAAGATGTCTTCGGCCCCGCGGCAGGTGACGAACCACAAAACCGTCACAGCCACACGTGTTGACTTTGAACCACCCAGCGCTGAGCAGTTAAAACAGAACTCTCTTGTTTTGTTGTCCAACAGAAACCAGTCTGGCGGTGTGTTGTGAAACGAGACGACATTCTGGTGGTTGTGTGGAGGAGCACAGGCAGTGTGTGTGTCCTGCTCTGGGCATGTGTGGATGTGAGTGTGTTGTTTTCAGGAGGGGAAGAGCAGTGTGTGCTCGGTATGCAGGCCGTGTGCTGGGTTATGAGGTGTTGATTGCGGGGTGCTTAACTGCGGCCCGTTTGATGCTCTGCCTCGAGATCTGGCTCTAATGTGTTCCACTGTTTTTGCACTCTCACTGCGTGTCTTTTTCTCACTTTATCTTCATTTAACTTTTCTGCATTTGACCCATCCTAGTGTTAGGAGCAGTGGGCTGCCATTATGTACTGCGCCCGGGAAACATTAGTTTTTAAAACCATTTATTATTTACTTTTAGTTTTCTTTTTTCAACCATTTTTGTTGTTAGTTTTAGATAACTATTCTAACCATTTATCCATGACTTTGAGCTGTTTACCCCAGTGACTTGTGACTCTACAGAAGTACCCTGTGGGGTTAAAGTACCCCTTGTTGTAAATAACTGGTTTACAGTTTATTCCTATTGTTTGTCAATGGGGAAGTCTCTTGTGTGTGTGGCGTCCCTGTTGTGTCAAGTGTGTGTGATGAAGTACACATGAAGTACCCTGGAGTGTGTGTGGCAGCGCGGCCCCCCTTCGCTCTTTCCTCCACGTTGGATTGTTTTACTTTGTCCTCTCCGCTCCACTGGCTCTCTAAACAGCTGCTTCCTACAGAACAGCGCAAAGCTGTTTCTGGCAGGTGTGGCTGTGTGTTGGCCAGACCTGCTTCTTAGCTTTGTCTTTAAGATGCCATAGAGTAACAGTGGAAATGTGTAACAAAGTTCACAGCAAGGATTGAATACGTGATGGTGGCATCAGAATCAGGAAACTTCTGTCTGTTCATCGAAGTGAAAGCTAATCAAGTGAATTGCAAAGCCTTTCATAATGAATCTGACACTTTCTAAACTGCAGCATTCTTTTTATGGAAACCTCCTGTTAGATCTATCTATACGTTTACTGGGAGACAAATGATCCACAATGCTCTCCTGTGTAAACCAAAATGACCAGGTGAATAAAACTGGTAAAAACACAAAAACATCTCACACCGTGTCAGATTTTGGTTATTTTGGGGAGGTGGAGATAAATCATATTGTTTGGTGGATGCAGTTTGAACCAGAGTAGCAGCATGGAGGTCGGATCGTCACCAAAATAAATAAATAAGTGGTCCGAAAAAGGTTAATGACAAAAAAAATACACATAGCCTTCCTCAGGCAGTGTGTTTGTACCGGGGACAGGAGACACCCCCTTGATGAGAAACTGTAAGAAATGATCGGGGAATCCCTCCGGACTGGAGTCATGACGACTGGATCTGAATTATGTTTTTGTATTTGGCGGTTTGTGTCCCAGCTGTCGATCAGCTGTGCGCAGCGTCTCCACTGCAGCCTTTAAAAATGTGTGTTTCTCCGACGCTGCTTAGTGGACGGACAAAGTTCCTGAAGAGCTGCAAGTCAAACTGTTGCTAACGTTAGCTCAGCTTGTTTTTTTATAATTTAAGATTCAAACGCGAACTAAAAATCTTCATCCAGTTAACAATAAGCTTCTGGCAGAGAACCTGAACGCTATGCACAGGGAGGGAATACAAAACCATTACAGGTGACCATATGAAGCCGTTAAAGACCGTCAATCAAATGATGTTTATTTCTGTTTCTGTTTCTGATCATCTAACAAGGTGACATCATAATTCCTAAATTTTACATTATATATTTAAAAAGGGCACTCGTGTATGATAATGCACAAAATAATAGCTTAAAACTGCTACCATGGCTCAATTTCTTTTATTGAATAAGTCTATTTATAGCCTCAATGCGTGAATTCATAGTGAATCTTCTAATGTGATCATTAAAACATTTTGAATGCAAGTATGTGTAAAATGACTCTTATCTATATATGTGTGTTTCTGTGTGTCAGGAGTGGGAGTCCGGCCCTGCAGCAGCTCCCGGCCCGCTGGCTCTCGGAGGTTCTGGAGGAGGTTAAATCCAGCGACCCGTCGTCAAAGCTGTGTGCCACACGGCGCAGCGCGGGGATACCCTTCTACATCCAGGTGGGTAAACATAGTGTAAGCTTCACAACTGGGGGAAGTATCTGCGCTTGGAAAATGTTCATACCAGAGGGGGTTTCTCTCCCACACACTCCTCCCCCTGCATGAAACGCCTCCATTGGACTCCTTTGTTTACTCTCGTCACACAGTGACATCACAATATAGCAGTAGCGCCTCTATTGGCTATCACTAAAACACATTGTACATGATAGGCTATTGGGCGTGACATCTCTAGGCAGTTGACCAATCACAACAGAGCTGGCCAGCTAACCCATCAGAGCAGACTGGGCTCTGGTTTCAGACAGAGGGTGAAAAGAGGTGTTGCAGCACAGGCAGTATGAGAGAAATAAAGAGCTTTTTGAACATTACAGCATGGAGACATGTCAAAGTAGAGACACTAAATACGAACCTGAACATTAGAAAAATATAGTGTTGCCAGCTTTATGTTTATTATGTTGTCACTGGATTTAGGAGACATTCTTATCCAGTCTGAACTGTAACATGAGAAGTTTTGTAATATAATTACTGTTTGTGTGTGTTCCTGTTTACTTCTAAAAGAAGTGCAATCAACGGTTCTTGGCATGCCACTGGTGCACTCATGCTGGAAGAACATGGAGTTTCTTAATCCATCTGCCTTCTTTTCTCGCACGCATGCACGCACGCACGCACGCACGCACGCACGCACACACACACACACACACACATACACATACACATACAGTCCTTTGCTTGACCCCCTCATAGTAGTCACCAGTCCCGCTCACATCTAACAATGTGTTGTAATTTGTGACTACCTCAACACTCCACTGACTCAGACTGTTGTTCAGCTGCTGCTCCCCCCCCCCCTCCTCCTCTGATTACTGATATTAAGGTAGACGTGAGTTTGTGTTTTAGCATAGCAGTCATCTCAGAGCTGGGCGGCTCTTTCTCGTGGTTAACGGTACAATGGCGGCACCGCTGACATCACTGACCCTTCTGCTTAGCCAGATTTGGGCTCTTGATTTTGAAAAGTCTGTACTTTTCTGAAACTTGCAAACTTCAGCAACACACTTTTTCTGGATTATTTCTGAAACAATATGGAATTAATAATCAAGTGTATTGCCAAGTAGTAATGCATAAACACAGCAAGAGGGATTACGTTGAAAATAAGAGCAACACTATAACAATTTAAAGCTATTTTTAAAAATACAATAAATAAGTATTACAAATAAATATAAATATAAAACAAGTAAGAAAAAAGGTAGATGACAAAATAAAAATAAAATATCTTCTGTAAATCAGAATTTAAATTTGCAGACTTGTCAAAAGTTTCTTTGCTTGATAAAAACCTTAAACATCCCTGTTGTCTAGCTGAAAATATTGCAAAGTCAAAGTAAAGAAGAGTAGTAGGAAAGCAGAACACAGAAAAGTACGGTACTCAGATATTCTACTTAAAGGTGGGGTAGGTAAGTTTGAGAAACCGGCTCGAGATACACTTTTTGTTATATTCCATGGAATGCTCTTAACATCCTGATAGCAATGAATATCTTAAGTGCTTTGACAAAAAATCCATAAAAAATCTGTGGAAGCCGTAGCACTGTAAAAAGCACGACCAATCATTTTAGCCGGGCCTGTTAGCCTAAAATAGCTGGATGGCCTACCTGCCTGTCAGCCTTCCATCTGTGCACAAACAACTTATCTCGTGCCCTCATTGGTCATGTGCACGTTCGTGTGTGTTGGAGGAGGGGCTCTGTAAGGAAGTGGCAGATTTTTTCCGGCTGTGTATTTTCAAATTCTAGCGCACTCGAGCTGGTTTCTCCAAAATTACCTAACCCACCTTTAAGTAAAAGTAGAAGTACCCAAGCGTAGGAATATTACAAGTAAAAGTCCTGCATTCAAAAGGTTACTCAGGTAAAAGTACAGAAGTATTATCATCAAAATATAGTTAAAGTAGCGACAGTAAAAGTAGTCATTGTGCAGATTGGTCCATTTCAGAATAATAGATATGATATGTTTTATAATGATTGATCATGAAAGTGTTCTCAAAGCTGGTAAAGGTGCAGCTACTTTGAATGACTTTGTATACTGCAGGGTAGCTTGTGAATTTACTCCAGGTGGAACTAAAGTCTGATTTAACACTTGATTATATTTCACATCATTCATCCACATCTGTAAAGTAACTAAAGGTATTAAATACATGGAGTGGAGGAAAAGTTCAAAGCAGCATAAAATGGAAATACTCAATTAAAGTACAAATATCTCAAAATTGTACCCAAGTGCAATACTTGAGTAAATGCACTTGGTTACTTCCCACCTCTGGAAAACCCATATGGGGGATTTAAGAGGGGGGTGCAGGGGGACAGAAGATAACAGGGAGGGAGAGAGGAAAGCGTTTGTGGAGAAGCAGGATTTGAATTTGGCGGAGCGTCGGCTGCATTCCTTCACACAGAGAGACGGAGTGAGATCTGGGAAAGCTGGCTCCCTCTCGCTCACCTTCCTCCACCCGAGAGTTCATCAGATCCAGACTGTGCCTCCTCCTGCTCCTTCTCCTGCATCCCTCCCAGGCCTAACCATAACCCAGGCCAGACACACAGCTGGCTCCCATCACCCCCCTTCACGGACTCCTGTCACACAGCAGCCAACTGCTGTCACCTTCTCCTGCCACATTCTCTACTCCCGGCCGGCACATCCGGATGATGTCATTCAGTGGAGCCTTTAGCATAAGCAAATGTATGTAATCATATACTGTAGTTGTGACTGTATGTCATAAAATACCACTGATGGGCCTGATTCAGTTGAGATTAGAGGTCTACTTACAAGTTAAGAACAAAAGTAAGAAGTAACTTAAAGTAGGGCTGAACGATATATCATGTCATGGCGATAACCGCGATATGCGCATGCTCGATATTCACATCGCAGGGACGTGCGATTTTTTAAATTTTTTATAATTTTCTTTTTCTTTTTTTTTTTTTTCACATTTTTTTTTTTGACTTGCGATATTAAGTAGGTACATTAACTCAAACACGTCATATTACAATTATTTTGCTGCTTGCTACAAAAGGAAAACTTGCGCGGCTCTCATGTCAGGGGTACTTGAGTGAGTGACATGCAGGCCCTGCATGCACAGCAAACCACCAATCACAATCATTCTTGATCAGATCACAGCAGGATAACCGAGCTAGCTCAGCTTGTTGCTCTGATANTCTATTTGACATACTTTCTATGTTTACTTTCTCGATTGGTGGCATGAAATAGTGCATCTGATACAGGAGCAGTTGCTTTAGGATTGGGCCTCATATATAGCCCGCTATATATGAGGCCCAATCCTAAAGCAACTGCTCCTGTATCAGATGCACTATTTCATGCCACCAATCGAGAAAGTAAACATAGAAAGTATGTCAAATAGACCGTATTTTTATTAGTATTATTTAACTGGAATGAATTTACATTTGAAATTATTAATATATACACAAACATTTTTCACAAATTACAGACCTTCAAATTGCCATTTTAAGTACAACATTACTGTACGTACGACCAGCTACTTCATCAAATCCCAGATGGGCTGATAGGGGGAAGCCTGTGTAGTCGTGCATCTTTGTCTACAATAGTCTGCAGACCTTCTGGTAGCTACCCACTTCCTCACATATTTTGTGGGGTCCCAAGAGGTAAGAGGAGGTCCAACCATTTGAATGAACATTAGAGCTGAGACATTTTGAGTTTTCAGTTGTGAGCGCGTTGATATTACAACTGCATTCATTTCTGAGAAACCCCTCTCNATTAGACTATTTTCTGTCATCTACAAAAATTTTTGTACTCCGTCCTTTGGTCTGTCACAACAAGCAGTCTAATGTCTCTCGACTGTAGAGCCTCAGACAGGACTTTCAGCTCGTCAAGTGCATCCATCATCAGTCCCAGGTTTTTAACAAAAGCAACTGACGTCAGCTTTGCTGCTAGCCCCTCATACATGCATCTATCATTTGAGGAACGGTTCACATCTACACTTGCAGATGTGAGGTGATGATAGAGTGCAGCATACATAGTCCAAACAGCATTTACTGTCCTAAAAGATGAAGCCACCCACCTTATCCCGAGGACGCGACCGATCTTCCTCAAGCATACACCTACTTCAGAGACTGCAGCATCAAGCTCTCTTAAGTTCTTTGGTGACTGATGATAGAGACAGTATAGCTTGTCAAGAAAAGCTGTGAAGTGGTTGGTTTCGGTGCTTGATTGCATCTGACACAGATAACTCCAACCTATGGTTTAGACCAGAGGTGCCCAGTACGTCGACCGGGGGCAATGCTGGTAGATCGCGAGTCATTCATAAAAAAAGAAATCCAGCTCCGTTAAAATAGACAAAACAGGTTTTGATCCCTCCTCCCTGCAACTTAATTCAGGGGTTTACTTGATTGACAGAAAAAGCGAAAATCGCTTTCCAGTCTGTTAACCCAGAATGCAAAGTGATACAAAATCAGTCAAGTGCCGGGAAAACTCAAATTAAGAGGCAAACAAGAGACAAACAAGAGACAAACAACAAAATGAGTGCGGGACCGAGCAAAAAGCTAAAAATATACCACTTCCACCCAGAATGGGAGGAAGAATATTTGTTTGTGATGTCACATTCAAAGGTTATTTGCCATATTTGTAAAGCAAACGTCGCTCTGCCAAATAAAGGTAACGTGGAGAGGCATTATCGGAGTGTTCACAAGGCGACTTCCCTCTGAGTAGCGAGTTTAGAAAGAGAAAGGTCATGTATTATTGCTACAAAAACCTTATCTCGCAGTCTTAGTGTCGCCAACTCGTTTCTAACATGCAAAAAGACAAACAAATGCGTCTATGGTCGGTGTATTTTTGATCTTTCCAATCGAGACGAGATCACTCCCCCGTCTGTGTGCGAGGGGCACACGGAGGAGATGGCGGAGAGAAGCGCTCCAAGGTGTGGTTAAATGTTACCCGTCTTAAACTGGACAATGCTCGTTGCCAATAGTGTTTAGCATGTAAGGGCGGTAACACGAGCAATTTGTCTAAACATTTTTGCAAAAGTGCACCACATTCAGACGGAGGAATGCTCCGGGTTCGACTGTCTT